GTGTGTGTACATACATACCTGGGGTCATAAATGATGTCACAGAACTTTTCCCCCACCAATATGCAAACTGGTGTGAAACACTATCAAAAGCTTTAACAGAAGTAGATTCATGGTAGGAAGTGTTTTGTATAATTGAGAATATAACAGACATACTTGTTACTAGTAATATGATCCCCCTGCATCAGCCCAAGTTTAAGTCTAGTTAATATAAAATGAGCTAGTTCAAAATAAGCTAAGACAACTAAGACGGACTATTTTGTTTAGCCATTTGTATTAAAATTTGATCTTCAGTTTAAATATATCTGTTATACTTGGTTGAATCATTCCATTTTTACAGGCTGGTCTTCTTCTGCCTAAAGTTGTGTATGAATTTAGAGGGTTAGCTTTTGTCCAGTGGCATGCAAAAATAATTGTTACTTTAAAAAAACCATACAGGTTGATTTTGGTGTTTTGTCTCTTTGGCACTGAGTGACTCGATAAAAACAGTGACTGCGTGGACCTTTTCTTTCCTCCGCATAGACACTGTCTGTTCTCAGATCACTTTGTAAACATGCTTTTAGCATTCTCCTCAAGCGTGACACATTCTGCCATTTCTAAATAACAGATGCTTATACTGTACGACCCCAATTGAAAATATTTTGAAGGCAATAAAATATTTTGTAAGATTGGCGTTGTGATGTCACCTGAAGCTGTGTGTCCACTGGGAGGAATAGTTGACAACTGTGTTTTCTTGTGGTTGTTTTTGTTTTTGCTTTAAAAATGAAGCAGACAGTGCTGTTGCATGTTCTTGGCAGTGATGAAATTGTTGCGCGTTTAAACTTTGGAGCTCAAAGTAATTTAAAATGTATTTTAGCTTTTAATAAAATTGCACTAGATTCCTAGAAAGTTTTTAAGAGCTATAGCGTAACGATAGCCACGACCAGCACTTCCCACGAGCATCTCTATATAAATTAGGACAAAATCCTGGTGGACACATGGCCCTAATCCTCTACATAAAGCATCTGTAGAGAGCATGAATCAATTCATCTCCTGTAAGTATACAATTGCACTTGTAAGTGGACTGCAGAACAGTTCTCACTGCCATGTGACACAAGTGCCCTGCCAAAGCAGCCTCTGCACTTCTTTTTCTTCTAAAGAACCAATGTTTTATAAAAGTGGGGCAACCAGGGAGGGTTGAGGTTCCCCTTAATCTTTGAGTTACCTGCCCAATGAAGTGCTTTTGAATGTATTCCCCTTTAAAGTCGTGTTCCATGTGCAAATTGCCATGCATGCTATCGCTAAATATTGCTCTTCCGTTTCAAAAAAGAAACAATTATATGGATAAATTCTTGTTACATTTGTTGTCCTGGTGCTTCGCTTTTCTTTGGCTTATTTTTCATTATGTGACTGTTCCCAAGTAGTCATTTTCCCCTCCCGCCATCTCTCCCCCTGTCAGCATGGTGAAGCCCATTGTAGACAGTATCCATGTCTATGAACACATATTGATGATGCTTTGTTGCTCAGCTGTGATTCTTCCCCTCTACTAACAGCATTCGGTTTCTCTCTGCAGCCACGGTGGGAAGATGGCCTCTCTGTAAAGCATATTGTTTTCTGTGCCTTGAGAGAATTAAGCGCGTGCTTGTGGCAGAAATCTGGGGGCTGCCTTGTCACATGTGCCTCTGTGAATGGGAGGGAAGTGATGAACAGCTGCGAAAAATGTACTTCACGCCAAGGAAACATTTGTATCTGTTATTTTCAGAGAGAAATGCCTTACTAATTAGAGTAAACATTCAAATCTGCAGACTTATGAATTGGAAAGAGCATTTAGTAATCTTCATTTTGGAAACAGTTCCTCTGAAACCAACAGTGCAAGTCTTTTTAAGTGGAACTTTTCTCACTGACCTAATCTAGCCAATGGGATCAATAGATAGCTTCAGGAGTTGTGAAATACTCTGTTTTTCTTTGGATGAAAATTGTTTGGATCAATTTGAGCAAAATATCTTCAATGCCCCAGAAATTTCAAGGTGCATAATACTTAATGAAATCTGGATTTTATTTAGTGAAAAAATTTCATAGTAAATCCAGATGATGTATAAGGTTATAGTAGTCATAATCACATGGTTTTCTTATTGCAAAGCTTGGGTAAGCCTCAATAGGTGTCTCACATTGATCCTTTGGCAATGTGCTGCACCTCTTGCTTAGCACGAGCAGTGCTGTTCTGAGATTGTGTGGGTTGTGTTGCGCTCCGTAGTGCAGAAATACAGTTCACTGACCACGTTTAGCCTGGAGTTACCCCTTTTTTCCTCTTTCTCTCTTCTTTATTCAGAAAACGTCGAGGTGCGCAGAGTGCCCTTTCAGGGTCTGAGAGGATCGATGCACTGAGATACCAACGTATTAAAAAGGCCAAGAAGATGACTATGAACAACAATAACTCCAAGACCAGAAAGAAAGCAGGTGTGAACCACCATTCAATATTTGTTCTCATTTTCTCCACTGTTGAGGTCTCTATAGTGAAATGACCTGCTGCCATTTTCAGAAGATTGTCAAGCATGGCATTTTGAAGCTCATCACCAGCTGGCATTTGGTCAGGAGCCTTTCCTGTCACATTCCCGCATCATTTTAATGTGCAGGGCAGTGCGTTAGAATACCTCCTTAAAGGAGAAAGTGTAACACCCCCCCCTCCAAAAATCATGAAACATTACCCCAGACAACACAAGGTCCTTAAAAATGAATTTTCTTCTTAAACTAAACTTGTAGACTTTTGACAAATGGAGGTGTTGGGAGTGTTTCCGAGTCCAAACACTCCCAAAAGCAAACAGTGAGGCATCACTGAAAACAAATTACATCCTGTTCCGTCAGATGTTGCAATCAAGATCTGCTTTTTATGAAAAGTGGGACTCAAGTGGTTGAGAAGTATGCTAGCTTATTGCTTGACCACTCGAGTTCCCTAAAAATTCAAATATTTTAACAAAAACAGAGTACAGCACCGTAATAGAGTTGAATGTTGAAGATGAAAATATATGCACCAAAAAGCCAACTGACATATCATAATTTACATTATATGGAAAAGAGTACTGGGACACCCACACATTAAACATGAGAGCTCTTTGCTTCTAGAAACTGCTGCAGTTTTTGTGCTGATGTTAATGCCAGAGGTTTGGAGTTACTGCACAGCAGAGAGTTGGTGACGTTTATGCAACAAGCTCAAAGTGTCATCTTAGGGAGCATTCTCATTGCTAGAGCCTCCTAAGCTTAGCATAGTGTAAGTCCAAACAGCATAGCATAAAATGCCTACACTGTAATAAAAAAAGGCAGGCTTTTGACCGTGTTATATGACCTGACTTAGCAGCACTTATGGCCTGGCTTACGTTGTGCATGAACTTACAGGTTGTATATGGAGATATATTTTAGTTTTTAATGTTTAGTTTAAATGAGGTATAACAGATGCAGGTATAGTGGATTTTGTCGTCATTGTAAAAGTAAAAATCACTGTTTCCAGTTATTAAAATTAACTGACTGCCTGCTGGCTCAAGATTCATACTGTATTACAGAAAAACTGGACTTGTGGGTGCTTCATGGAGTTGATCTACTCCTGCCCAGAAGCAAAGCATCATTTCAGGGAAAGTGTCGGAACAGCATTTCCACCTTGAGTTCTGGTGGCTATGACCTGCCTGTTCGTCTCTTTGCCTCCAGGTGTCTCCACCTCTCAGACCCAGCAGGCCTACACCTCTCAGGTACTCCAGCCCGAAGAAGCTCTCTACCTCCGCAAAAAGAAGAAACGGCCCATTCTCCATGACCCATATATTCGCTTTTCTGCTCTGCTTTACCGTCGTCCAATTCGGGAGGACCAGAAAGCTATTTTGGCTAGCATGGACAACACAGACCTAGACCATGCCACCCTCCTCTGAAAGTCACAGCTGTGCAATACAGCTCCCCTTTCCAAAATGACACTGCACTAGCTACGTCTCAGCTGAAAGAAAAAAGAATACTGTCACTAGAATTGTTGCAGTTTATTACCTACAAAGGGGAGTGGCACAAAATTTCAGCATTCAGATTTGGTTTATTCCACAGCTGCACCCCTTGGTCAGTTTAGTTTGCATTAGTAAGCATTTTGCTGTGTTCATGAATTAACCTTGACAAGACTCAATTTCTTCAAAAAAAGCAGATTAAGAGAATTATTATCAGAAGCCACACATATGTTTTTGTTTAAAAAAAATCAGATTAATGCCATCTTTGATTGGAATTGTGGTTTTGAGGCATTTCCTCCCCCAAATTTTGGATTATTTGACGTCCTGCTTTGGAGACCCAAAGGCACAGCAATCTTCTGTTCTTACATCAAGTAGTATTCCATTTAAAAAAATGTTTAGAGCTCTAAAGATTTAAGTGATAACTGACACATTTGTCCAAAATTTTACTCCAGTGCAAAATCATTAACTAGAATAAATACAGCCAACCATTTTGCTGATTTTTGTAACGACTATTTTCCTACTCCAGTCTTCATATTCTTAATTTTAACATTCCCTCCAGCCTCGGGTCCTGTTTCTTGTGCTGAGCCAATCCTCTCTCCCCATCCTGCGGGTCTCCGTTTACAGCACCTTCTATAAGAACCTCTCTCCGCCAGCAGCATCTCTTATCTGCCGAGAAACTCGCCTCACAAATATGGGTGTTCTCACTTCCTACCAAGTATACCTCAGAGCACAGGACACGAGACCACACAACCACCTGGATCAGCCAGGACAACAAACTAGCCTTTTTACTCATCTTTTCATTATTGTTGCTTTTTTTATGTACCTGTTTTTATATTTGTTTCCAACTGTGCAAACACTGAACACATAGTTTTATCTGTTCAAGAAAGATTCACATCTTTACTCATCAGCTTTTTTCTGCTCTGTGCTGAATGAGCAGGAAAAGGGCTTGTGGTGAAAGGAAACGGAAACATTACCTTTAGCTTTACTGTACTCGGCCTAATCTTCACTCTGTGTAGTTTTTCACTGACAGATGGGAACCAAACAGGTCTCGTCTTCATTCCACATAATATTACAAAAAATCTGGCACCCTCAAATGTGGCTTTTTAATAACAAAAAATATTGGGATTTCTATTTAGTTTTTTATGAAGTTATACAGTTGCTCCAATTATTTTGAATTTTAATTTTAATTCCAGCTTTTTACATCTCAGAACGGTTTGCACTGGAGCAAAATCTTGTCCACGTCCTGTCTCTTCCTTTACATTTCACTTCTTCTACTTTAGTTAGCATAGAGGGCTGCAAATCCACTTCTGAAATTTATGCCAAAAACAATTCAGTGAACAGAAAGAAACAATTTTAGGGATTTTGTGCCATTTCAGATACATATATATATATGTATATATATATATATATATATACACGTGTGTGTGTGTGTGTGTATACTTACAATTTTGCTTCATATTTATTTAGGAGGGCATAAAACACTGGCTTTATTTGGCCTTAATCTTTGCCTGTTTCATTTGTGTCAAACTTTATTTAATGTTTGTTTTTTATTTGTGTTTTTATATCTGCTTCTTTTGTCCAGTTTCTATTTATGTGCTTGTCATTTGTTGAGACTCCATCTATGCTCCAAGAAAACGCTGTGTGGCACTGAAGGTCACACACAGTGAGCCGAATGTTTTTGCTGTATTTTCACAGATTGGTTCAAATATTGATTCCACAGATTGAGAAGTGTGTTTGACATGTGATGGATTTGCTGGATGCTACGCGGCTACACGGTTCATTTTTTTAATGATTGGATGAGTAACAAAAGTGCCATAACATCAGAAACTCAGCTATATTACACAGTACACATGCTGCTTCTTGTTACATTATGGAATCCGCAGATGAGGGGTGTGTACGTTAAAACAACAACAAAAAAATCCAATCGAGCTTTTGTCGTGTGTGGATTTTTATCAATAGAAGGTGTATTCACTTGTAGGTGTCATGGTGACATGTTGCAATATGAGAACAATGGAGGTTGATTAATATGACAGTGGTGATGTGCATCTTAATCTATTTATTTCTTTATTTCTTGTGATTTTGAGCTGCTAATCCCAGCAGTCTTCTAAAATCAGACATTTTTTCAGTGACTACATTTACTTGCTTGTATAAGATATTTCCACAATAAATGCTTTCATAAAGAGCAATTTTAGATGGGCCTTCTGTAATGCAGGAGCAATTCTGGAATAGATGTGATTCTTTTTTTCATTTAGATCTATGTAATAAAATGGCTGCTGTAACTAAATCTTCTGAGTGCGTTTGTAATACATGAATAAACAAGCTAAAAGAAAAGAAAACATATAACAGAAGAGTCCTGACTTGACAGACGTTATACAAAAAAGAAAAAAGTAGAGAAGCTCCAGATAATGCACTTATTGTGGAAATAACTATGTTAATTCATACAACTTTAACCACATTTTCCACTTCCAAAGCCCAATAATAAGAGTTTTAGTCAGAATAACTTGGCTTCACACCTCCTATAGAAATTACTGGTAACATTTTGTTAACAAGACCCACTCCACTCTGTAAATTCTGTGCTGCGTTTAGGGACAAGGTCAACAAAAGTGGAAATCCTGAATGTTGTTTTTTATATTCTTTATAAAGGGGGTCCACACACAGGGACTCATCTGCATGTCACATATTCTTTTTGTCGCTGGTAGTAAGTTGCCAGCGGTCATTCCAGACTTAGGTAACCTTCTAATGAGTTTAGCATGCCTTCAGTCAATCACTGGTATCCTCCTCTTGCTGAATGTTACTGGTTTTCTGTGGTCACTGGTTGCCACATCGCTGCTAGTTGCTACACGTCTGGATGCCCCTTAAGGCACGATCTTAAGGCTGAATAGCTATCTCCTCAGAGGTGATGTAGTAGCGATGGCAAACAGAAGCTCGTGAGATGCTGGGGAAACCATGAGTGATGCATCCATAAATGATTGCAAATACCACTTCCATTTCCAAAATATGAGCAGGCTTTTGGTGCGAGTGGTGATTGGTTTCAGAATCCTGTTGAAAGAAGAACAGGGAAGTCTTCTTCCATGAAGCCCCTGTCTGAGGCATCGCAAGATTTGAAAAGCTGTATTTTGACAACAATTCAAAGGTTTAATTTGCTTTGTGCCTGTTAAATACACCACAGTTTATTTCATTTCAGCAGACCTTGGTGTGCGTGTGTCTCTCGGTGAGGGGAGGAAATATGGTGCTGTGGCAGTTTGTAGGCTAAAACAGAGAGGACTGAAACTGATTGCATGTAACACAGTGGATGAAGACCCAAGATGAATGCATAAAAAATAGCTATAATATCCTCAAAATTTGATATAGATTATTACAATTATATTTACAGTTCTAAGAAGAAACAAATGAATTAGGAGTAAAATAAATTTGTGATTGACTAAAATTGGCTTTTAAAATAATGGAATAGATTTTAGAATAGTCTTGCAGCTTCCTTTAAAGAGTTTATATCAAGGATTTAAAGGCACTTAATTTATCCAACAGGGGGCATCCTGCAACTTTCCTGTTTGCTTCACAACTTTGAAATGTCACAAATAATAAGTTAACAACCAGCTGATCCGAGCAAAGTCGGACAGAGCGTAAATCTGTAATCTGTGACTTATTGTGACTGTATAACAGATTATTTGTAATCTGTCATATTATCTCAGTAAGGACTCATAATTAACTACATATGACAAATGTTTGGAAAATCTGTTTACATTTCATATGTCTGAAAAAAGAAAACAGTCGGCTGATTTATTGAAATTTTAAAACACTTTTAAACAAATATCAATAACTGCCTTAAAAATCCTTCATCAGTCGGGCTCTAGTTTAAATGCTTTTTAAGTTAAGCATTATTAATTAATGATCATTAATTAGTTAACTAATGCTATTAGGAGAATGTGAATTAACAGCCACTTTGACTTTATTTATAAAATGTTTATCTACAGTGTTTAAGATATTTGCTGAAGTTAAACTAGGGATGGACTGTACTGGGCAATACCAGTTTGTAACCTGTATTTAAGCAGGCAACTGCTTAAAAATACCTTCAGAATAGAATAGAATAGAATAGCCCTTTATTGTTATTAGTATTAGTGACAGAGACCTCCAGAAGGAAAACCTCTTGAAGAACTGCAGATAGGACTAAAATGAAATATCAGGGTTTAAAAGATCAGCAGCATACATCCATAAACATTTCAGCATACTGTCCCCTAGGAGTCAAATATTTAATTAGATTCTGCAGAGGGTAATTTTAAAAAAGCACCTTTAAAACAAAACTGAGTTAATGTGATTGCTATCTTGTAATGTACATACTATACTGACATGTATACTCAGCTGTGACAGGCTGCCTGTTCAAATACATGTAGATAAAGTCACAAGAACAGCTCTTTAGCTTAGCAACTGTAGTTGTACAACTGTGTGACTTTGCATCGTTTGATCACCAAAGGTTTTAATTAGACTTAGGTGAGTGAGGATAGCTGAGAAATCTTAAAATGACCGAGGGAAAGGTCATCTATCTTGACAAAAAATTACTGTTAGCCTCTTAACTTGTCCATGTAAATAGTGTGTATTGGCAGATATAGTCTGCATGGTATAAATGATTGAGTGATGCTGACAAAAACTGGGATTTGCAACAGTGGTCTTGGTTTTAAGATAGAAGCCACAATTAAAATCTTTAGCTGAACAATCAAAATCAAACTAACTGTAAAAAGCTGTTTACTTACTTTGGTGAATAATGCAACTCAGAGAGTGCAGCAGGCAAAAACATGTGCTGTGGGTTTGAGTAGTCAAGAGGATTTAAGACTTCAGAATTGTTTCTAGATGTCCTGCTAATTAGGACAGGTAGATGTACTACCTCGGTATGTCTTTGTAAGTGTGTGTTAGGCCATGTTACCTACATGTTACTAAGTCATGTTAGCTCTGTGGAGGTATATATTAAAAAAATCTGTATTTTTGCACATGGCCATCCCTACAGTTGTAATACACCGTTTCTCCATGACAAGCTGGAAGATTAAAACCTGCAACCACAATGTCAGAGCCAATGTTATCATAGTTAACTAGATGTTAACAGTTAACCCTCTGCCTTTACTAAACACACTAGCTAGTTCGCAGCTTTGCTAACATAGATAAATCTACAATTATTACAAAGTAATTGTAAAAACTCTAGACATCAGAGATTAGCCAATATTACTTATCAATCCAACAGCAAGAAGGCGAGCTAAGTATCTGCCTGCAACCTTTCAGACTTTCCAACATTTATTATTTTTCAGTCTCTTACTCTCTCTCTTTTCCCTTCTATAAATGTCATGTTCTTTCACATTGCTGCTGCCATTGTTTCCATATTGAGAATACAAAGGTAGTTTTGTCCTCTAGCTAGGTGAAGACCCATTGGTGGTAGTGTGTTACATTATGTTATAAAGCATTACGCGACTTTCCCAGGACAGTTATGAGAGTCTGAAGCAGTTATTTTAAGGTGTAAAAGTTGCCTGACTGTTGCATCCAGAATACATATATGCAGAAATAAATATTTTAAAGAGAAAAATACTCATAGTTTGGCAATGAAAAAAGACATTACCAAATGTGCTATTACATTTTGTAATGTAAGAAAGATTGGTAGTGTATTTTTGCACTGAATGTGGCAGTAACATCTCTCAAAAATGAGATGAAATTTGATTGACAAAATAAATTCAAAATATCAATTTGTCTTATATTAGAGATATTCCATGTATTTTTTTTTTTATTATTTACATCATTTTCTTTTCTCTGTGTAGATCACAAACTGTACTTTGGACACACACACACACACACAAAACCCATGCTTGATTAGTGTGTCTTTGTGAAATCATGTATTACTCAGCTCGCTATACTGCTCTACATTTTGAGCCAAATATGATGATTTGCAGTTGATGGTACTGAAGCAGGAATTTCACATTTTTTTAAATCACGCATTCAAAGACACTTTTTGAGGAAAATCTCAGTACTGTATCACTCAGTCCCTGAACTGAGGAGCACCTCTTTCAGTGACCAGTCATCATATTGTTGAAGATGTTCACATTTTTAAATGCTAAAGAGGATTTTACCCCATGTGCTAAATGAGAAAGAATACCTGGTGCTAATACATGCTGCACATGTTAAAGGAAAAATGTTTGTTTACTTACAAAATACATTTAGTTGCTAAATGCACCCAGACTCATCTTTTTCCTCATTTTCATTATTTTTTATGAGCTCAAATTTGCAGTTTATATGTAAACACTGGCATCAGTCATTGTCAGTCATTATCACAGAGGTTGCTTTGATATTGCTTTAACATCATAGCTGTGAACTGCAAACTGTTACAGTGATGAAATCC